ACATGAGAGTAGTGGATGCTGTTTACATTTATTTCAGCAAATCTTTTGGAATTGGAATGGGTAAGGATGAATCAAAACTTAGGAAAAAAATTAGAATACCTTAGACTAATTTACTGAGGTTCAGAAAATGCAGAATAGGCTGTTGCTGCTGTTATAATTTCAGAGTTAGTAAACGGCACTGCAAACTAAACCGTTCATTTCAAAGCACATAAAGGGATACAGATTGACTCCAAAAAGTGATTAAATACCCAGACTAGTTGCAGGTCTTGCAGGTCTATAACCACTGCTACTGCTAGAGGAGGAAAATGCATCCCTAATCTCAAAAATTACATTTATAATTAAATTGATAGGAAGAATGAGTATAAAGAAAAATCTGTTGGAGTCTGACCATTCTAGTACATGCAATCCTTGTAATAAATCCTCCAGTAGTTTGGACTCTTCATTGCAGATGCTCATAAGCTATTTGCTTATTCTCCCAAGCTATCCAATACTTTTTTTTTTTTCTCCTGAAACTCTGATATGAATCAAATGGACAAAGTAAACAGAGTACTCTGTTAGAGTTTCCCTTTTTACAAATGAGCCATAAAATTGTCCATTAATCAGCCTTGCCTCCCCAGGGTCCAGTCTGCATTGTTGAGGTTTCCTCTTCCATTTCTGATCCCTGTTTTGTTGAGGAGATTACAAAATAAAAAGTCACAATGCAGTAAACCAAGAAGAATAGGCTTTTGAAAACTGCCCTCCTCTCCACAGCCCTTGGGCAGAGCTGGATTTTTTATCAGACTGGTGGAGAACTCTAAATTTAAACACACCCCATTCTTCATCCCTTACCTTCTAGTAAAATAATAGCCTATCATGGCTTATCCACCTCTCATCCAGAGGACATGGTGTTCCCATCTATTTAAATTACCCCAACAAGTTCCTTGAAACAATAAAAAGGCCCTTTAGGGTCTTCTGGAGTATCTACAACCCTCTGGTTATAATGAAATGCTGAGATAATTTACTAGGAATCTGGTATTTCAGAGCTTTGCTTCCTGATAATTCTTGAGAAGGGTGCCAGTTCTGACAGTGCTTGAATTTATCTGGAGGGCATATCCTTTTAAAAAAATGGCAGGAGGAAATATAAATCTATTTTACCTGTCGCTCCACAATGTGTGCTGTCTGTGGGCCCAGGGTCAGCCAGCAACTATAGTGCAGATCAGTTCAGCTTTTTACCTGGGAGAGCCAATTCTGTACCTGGTTTAGAAAATGCACAGTGGGACTGAGGTGAAGGAGTTGACCCCTACTGAAGCAACTTTTTTAGCTGTTTTTGCTGTGTTTGTTAGAATAAGCAGTAGACTAACATTGAATACAAGTGCCTCACAGTACATAGGAGCACTGGAAGTTATTGTAAAACAGCTCAGGATTAACAAAGTCCACAGACCTGCACATGACTATGCTACTTGTAGATCTGTCCACAAGCTGCCATGGATTTGCTATCATCTGCGAGAAAATGCCTTGGTCTTCTAGGTCTTAGATAATTTAAATACAAACTTTGCAGTTCATCCCGTCTGTAATTAAAACTCAGGCTCTTGTATTGCCTCTTCTGCCTTCCCTGTCTTTCACTATCTGTCACTCATTTAGGGGGAGATGACATAAGCTCCTTGCAAGGGTATATTTTTAGCAGAGCAGCTTATTTAACATGCAAACCAAACACATAATCAAAGTGTGTTGTGTTGTGTTTTTTTTTTTAAAGGGAAAGTCATCTCAAGGTTGACTTAAAGCCAAACAGCTTTATCTCACCGAAGTCTCAGTTAAGTGCTGCCGTGTGTAGCCCTATGTGTAAAACAAGGCTGCTCTTTCCAGTGAGGCTCTGTTGATCTATGATCTAATCTAGGCTCTTTAAATAAGCTTTTGAGTGTGTAACTAAGAACTCCTTTATCTGTTATTAATGTCTCATTTTGTTATCACCACAAGCAATTTAAATGTACTAGTCATGTTTGATGAATTCCTCTGCAGATTTCCTTCCCTCCCAAAAACATGTGAAGGTTGGTAGGGGAAATTTTTTCGTCTCTGTATTCCTTATGAGCTCAGTGGCACTCTTAACAACATTACCCTCATGAACATAAAACACTGAAATGTCTGGACATGCATTCAATGTGACTCACTCACACCTAGTGAACAAGCTCTCTCATTCAAGGACTACAGAAGTGTGAGTTTCTTGAATCACTGATTTTATTAGTACAAACATGTTGAACTTTACTAACATACCTTTTGACTTTATTGGTGTACCTTACTTTATATGTCAAAGACCTTGGTAGTTTTTTGTTTTTGTTTTACCACAGTTAATTGAATTGAGCTCGCATTCAAGGGAAAAAAAAAAAAAAAAAAAAAAGAATAAATAACTAAATCATTAAAGGAATTTCTAATAATCTCTCTCATATTAGTGGTGGCTGACCTAAGGAGTTACCTGCCACATAACCTGGCTTTTTCTCATGGGGGTTCATTTATTCTTATCTAAAGCCCAATCTTACCACAACTCTGCACTTCAGTCTGAGCTGTGGGAAATGTCTCGAGTTTTCACATACTGTGAGGGAAGCCCTGTGTCCTGCCTGAAACCTAAAGAAATACTCATTATGCATATTTGCATTGGCTTCTGTGTCACCCAGGAAAACTGTTCTTAAAGGAGAGCAAATAAAAGAAAATCTGCTGAGAAACAATTAGCTGCCTTGGGAACGGTACCTGCCAAGTCAGCTCATAACTCATGCATCTAGTTGCCACAGAATTTGATCAGCTCCAAAGCATATTACATCTGACTTATCCTGTTGCATCCCAGAACAGCTGAGCCTTTATACATATATACATATATATATATATAATAAAGATCACATCTACCCTTTCTAAATTTTCCCAACCTAGGAAAGAAGTACATTCCCTTCTCTTAGCACTGCAATGACAAATATTTATCTCTGGGGTGAGATAAAATAATGCATATACAAAAGTTAAAGTGAGGATTGTAGTTCCGTATTTGTTTAAATAAAAATACCTGATGAAGTGTTTTATTCTGCCATTTAGCTGCCTAATTGAATTAGACTTACAATCCTTCAGCAAATTTCACATTGGTGAGAACTTTCTGCACTAGTTTGGAAGGCTTGATCAAGTTTTGACTTCTTTGTTAACAAGGAGGTACCTCAGGTACCTCAAGACAATTTCAGTCCAAGCACTCATTCCTGCCTTCAGCAAACTAGTGCAAAACTAGCTGAGTAGCGGGATCCAGATGCCTTATGCCAAGTCAGTGACCAAAAGCAGCTCTAAAGCCAGTTAAGGTAAAAGAACAGGGGTAAAACCTGCAGAATGAATCAGAGATTTCATCTTACTGTGTTTTTATATGGAGATACATTAAGGCAATCCATTAGGAAACTGTCTATATGCTGTGATTCAACGATGTCTGTTTGTCCATTACTTACAGATTCAGGAAGAGAATAGACACCACCTTTCATTTTGTTCACACTGACATACATGTCTATACAAACATCCTTATATGTGCATGCACATAGCTATAAGAGAAAACAAAAAATCATAAAATCAAAAAATATAAGTATGACATTAATCAAGCAGAAAGTGCAGATATTTTAAATTTTAAACCCTATGCTAAGAGAATTTGTAGACATCCCTCTGTGAATACAGCTTTGTGAATAGTGTACAATATTTTAAGAGACCTTACTGGCCCTTACTTTACAACCCTGCGTTTTATAATTGTAGCATAAAGATTCCTATCATAACTTATTGTCCCACCAAATTGATATGTCAAAATTTGGACAAGAAACCACCGAAACTGTAAATTTCATCAATGAAAGTTACTCTGAAACTCTGTCCCACATTTCCTCTGAAACTGTTTCAGAGTAACTCTAGTATTTTAGTATTAAAAAAAAAAAAAAAAAAAAAAAAAAAAAAAAAAAAGCCTTCTAAAATCTGTCCTAATAATACATAATTATGGCTTAACACATAAGCACTAAGAAGTAGAGAGTTACAGCATGCACTCCTGAAGGAAGCCTTAGCAAAAGGTACAAGGATATAGTTAATTTCTTATGGTAGCCACCAGGAAACAGTGATTTCTGCACCAACATTTCTCTATCTAAATCCATTTTATAATTGTAAGAGGACTCCTTCATTGTCCTCTTGCTTCCAGTAATGACTTCAATTTTATTTATTTATTTATTTATTTATTTATTTATTCCTTGCTCTGTTAACAACCTTTCCAATGTGTAGGGTCTTGCTGAAAAAATATGCCTGGAGCCTTCATATAATTTGCATATCATTTTAAATACATTTACATGGCATTTTAATCAAGGAAAATGCAAACACAGTTATAACTTTTTATTTATAGAGTTCTTATAAGTCACTCAGCAAAACACACAGGCAAAATATGACCTCAGGGCTGAAGAGAAAAAAGTATCAGTGAGAAGACTGGTAGCATATCTTAGAAATCCATCTGATTAATGTCCTGCTTTACATACAGTTATTATAGTTTGAGGCTATTTAGGAGCTTGTAGTGTCTTGATTCAATCAGTTTTATTATAGAAAAAGTCTGTATCCCAAGTACACACAAACTGGCTTATGCCTAGAGCAGACATGAACCTCTTACTCAGTTCTGCATGTCATCTTGCAGGTGTCTACTGGGACAGAGGTGCTCTAACTTATGAATGCTTGCAATGGACAAATCTCACATGATCCCCATCCCTCAGATTTCAAAGTTTTGCTGAAAATACCACTGATGCTAACTTGACATCTATTGAGTCTCCTACAAATGCCATGATCTGGGCAGCCTAGCTCTGTCCCACATTTCCTTGAAATACGCTGAAAAGGGAAAAGGGTTGTAATGATGAAGTTTTCCAGAAAAAAAGCTGCTCTGCCCTGCCTCATACAAGCTAACTTGTCAACTACTCATACGGCTTTCCACCACCACAGCAAAAAACTTCCACCCCCCCCCACGCCAAAAATATTTATGGAAGTGGCTGACTCACCTTGTGCTTCCCAACACAAGGAGTGGTGCGATCTGCAGAGAGGTAAGTTATATGGGAACTTGGAAGAAAACGGCAAGCTTGGGAGAGGTGGAAGTGGAGTATGAATTCTAGAAAAAAAAAAAAGAAAAAAAAAATCACTTATTCTGCAAACATAATCAACACCTCTCTATAATTATATAATTACAGATGAAGAAACAATATTGGAGGAATTTTGTAAAGTCCTCTGTGTGAGCATTGCTGGCCAACGACAAATTCTCATTACCCTAAACACCCAGTCAGCCTGACATTTCTATACCTCTCCCCTCACAGGAAAAAGCATTCACCTACTGTGTTTCCAATGTTCAGTACTAATTCTGTATTTCACAGGATCCAGAAAAGTCAATCCTGGGACAACAAGCCCCCTACCTTCTACAAGTCACAAACTACTTTTAGGTTAGCAAAACCTGAAAGAAACCAACTACTTCTTTCAGAAAAAAAAAAAAAATCCTGTCATACTCTGGGATTTTTTTTTTTTTTGCAGATAATCATGCTTCTGACTCATTAAAATAGCTTGCAAATAAAGGACGTAGATGGTATTCCATGTACTGCTAAAATGGAATAAAAATTCATACAAGAGATGATTCAATTCATCTCCAAATCAATGTTTGAAAACCAGTTAAAACCCACAGTTATGGCTGAGCTTTATAATCTCATATGAAACAATTAGATAGGCTCAGTCCATTTCAGAAATGTCTATTTGTATCATGTTTCTAAGCACCACTGCTGTATCAGAACTTTGATACTATCTACTGGTGCAGGCAAAAATATGCATGGACAGAATAACGTTGCCAGCACCCACAACTTTACCAAAATTTTCATCGTATTGAGTGTTTCATTAAAAATCAGTTGCAAGGGTCATGTGACTATCTGAAGGTCAAATTTCAAAATAATTTCTTACCTCAACTTTTAAGAGACCCTTGAAAGCATAAAGCAGCCAAACCCCATCAAAGGTACAGCAACCACCAAATAAAATGTAATGCTATAAAACATATTGTTTTAAAAGTATCTCAAAGGCAAAGCCAATCTCATGTCTGTTATTAATACCATATCACTGTAGGTCAAACTTAAGGAAAAAAACAGCACTTTAAACTGTGAAAGGTCACACTGCTCTTCATACCTGTACTTGCCAGGTTTATTTATATTTAATGCCAGCCTGACTGTAACTTATAAAGACATCTATATTTTTTCCAAATAAAAACACGGATGTAATTTTCTTCTGTTCGATATACTTCTTAAAACTAGAAGGACTGTGTTCATCTTTGGGATTTATAAGAATAGTTTGATATTAATAGCTGCTCTGAGTGAGTTCTTGTCCTAGTCTGTACCCATGTCCAGGATTGCCCTGGCCCAGTTGCAGCACACCACATCAGCCATCCTTTCTCCCTCTTGAGTGGAAAGGTAAACCTTCAGGAGTTAACAAAATAAATTAATTAATGCACATATGGCTCAAGAGCTGTGGCCACTGTCACTATGAGTCAAGTGCCAGGAACTATCCAAAAGCCATTGCACAGCCACTTGTCCCAAAACATGGCATTAATTTCGAGTGTCTCAAACAAAAAATTCAATAACAATCAGGCAGAACACAAAGACTCAATCTTTTTCTTGTCTTTTACCTGCTCAATTGTGAAATGATGTTTCTGAACAAGTAATATTTTTATTCTGCTGTTTTTCTGTACTTAAGTTAATTGTTTGGGGATTTTTCCTTAAGTTCCCCTTGTTTTGGGGGGTGGGAGTGCAAGTATTCTGATACCAGAGTGCAGTTCTCATCCTTTAAGGTTGCTTTGATATAAGAATTACCCAGGAGAAATGTTACAAAAAAAAAAAAAAAATCCTGTTTCTGTAACATGGTCCAATTCCTTTCAAGATCTCCAATCTTCAACCATGGGCTACGTCACAGTTTATAATACAACTCGAGTCAAGAATGATGAAATAGAAAGAATAAAAAGTAAAATATGTTGACTACAAAGCCTAAAATACATTCATCTAGTTTGCTGTCTATACCTAGTTGAAATATGCTTCTTTTTTTTTCATATTTCAGTTTGATCATATTGCCATGTTTTCCTTCATTTGCTTAAAGAATAAAATTAATCTCAGAATTTTTATGCTGTCAAATATCTTGAAATATATGTATATACGCACATAGATAAAGTTCTTAATGTGGAATTACAGAAAGAAAGAAAAAAGCAAGCACACCTACCTAAAGCCCATTTTTAATTATTTTTGGCCTTCGTATTTTTTTCCTGAGTTTTGTCAAGAAAGAGAAAATATATAACCAATAATATTTTAAAGTCATCACTTACTGTTCCATCATACATCACCAGACATTTCAGTTTCCAGACCTTTCAGCAGTTATACAGCTGTTATTTATAGTGCTAGCTAATAGTTTTATAGGCTGATTATCAGGAAAGGAATGGGAGTTATACTTTTATTCTGGCTTTCTGTCTTTTCCCAAATGAAAATAGAATAAACCCAGTACAAATAAGAAAGAAAATATTGCCCCGCCTTTGCTTAGTTTGGATCATTTTCCTTTGTGGACTCCCACTGAAAACATGTCTAAATAGCATCTGTAAAGCCTAAACTGACAGGTTACTTGTGGCCTTGCGCTTCCTGCTTTAAACTTCCATTATGTCAACCAACAAAATATTCTTTCTATATTTAGGTACTGGTGTCAGGTCTAATAAAGCTACTGAACACTGAGATAGGAATCAATTATCTCTTGCTTAGCAGCTCTCTAGTATCAAGTGATTATGCATGTACACCACTAAAAACAACACAGTACAACATTAAATGAATTTCAATAGTAAAAAGATGGCATGTCCTCTCTCTCTCCATCAAACAAAAATATACCATACCTATTACATAAAACCCTTAATAGTAAAATATAATTATTCCAATTTAACAAAACACATACACTGGTATCGCATTTCAACATCAGCATACAATCATCAACATGTAGGCCAAGTTACCATCTGAGAAATAAAAGTAGAAACTGTTTAAAAGAAATGGTCTGTTACTAGAAACACAAACACATATGTGCCACCAAATCACATAAAAAGAAAAAGAATAAATTGCCATGCTCACAGTCATAGGTTACAGAAGTAAAATGAAAGATCAGTAATAATTAAGAACTGAAAAAATCTTCTGGTAAATATTCACTGTAGAAAGACAGCTTCACTCCTTAGAAAATGCTTCCACATCGCAAGTATCTAGTTGACTTTTTTCCCTCCTTGTTATGAAGGATGAAAGACCACAGTATCTGTTGTACTACACAATTGGTCTGTTCATAACACTGAAAAGTTGGGCTCTTAAAGGTGAAAGTATGCAAGAGGCTTTTCTCTCATTATTTATTTCTGCAGGTCTGTAAAACTGAAAGGATTAAAACTCAAGATCCATTGATTACAAGCCTAGGGAAAAGGCTGGAATGGTGTATTTAATACCCAGCTTCTTTTTAAAGAGAAAGTCACAAAGACTTATTCTGCCTGCAGAAATAAGAGGATCTGGCTGGAAGATGATCTCCAAAATGTGGAGGGCAAATCTTAATATAATCAACTTTTTTGGAGGATTTCTATTCCCATGGTGAGAGAACAGCAGAGGTGTTAATTGTGACCTACAGTTCAATACAAAGGCCCCACAGAGCACTTGGTACTTTTGTTTCACATGAAAGGCCCATTTTTCTGCAGCTAAAAATTCAATCTCTAGCCCCTCTGCCCCACTCAGAATTCATAGTTATGCCTAATCTGCTGCTTTGCTGGCTCACTTACAGGCCCTGTTGGCAGGTAGTGAATGCAAAATTATTTTAATGGGGAACCCCTGGGACTGAGAGCAAAAGTTTTGAGCATTTACAATTTTACAATGACATACGGCCAGCTGTTAGAGGAAATAGGCCCCCATTGCTGGTGCTCACTAGAATGAGACCATTTGCATGGACATTTTCAAGTCAGCAGTCTGCTAAAGGAGGAAACTAGAACATCCAAACAAAAGAACAGGAATGGCCTAGACAGGGAAACATCATCAGGGCATATGGTATTTATTAAACCATATTTATTATCTGGGCACAATGAGAGCTGCATCCCCAAGTTGAGGGCCACAAGCAAATTGAGGGTCAACACAGCTTGAAGGCCCAGATGGGAAGGTAAAACATAAAATGGCTCAGAATAGCACCAAGAAAAGCAATAGGAGCAAGAAACTGATTTGACATGATGGAGAATTCATACAAACTCAAATCTAAGTTGGATCTGGCTCAGAGCACATTTTAGGCAATACGATCAGACACTAATTCCCATCTTTTCTGTTACATACTGTCTCCTGAACAATAGCTCTAAGCAGTGAAAAATTGTGCCATGTTCAGTGAAAATGGACTTAATTCATTTCCCACTGAAATCAATAGAAATCTTTCCTTGTCTCCAGAGGAAGCTAGATTAAGCCATCTATTAGCAAGTGTATCTGCTCATAACAATACTGTTACAGAACAATTAGAAAAAAAAATACGAGTAACTGGAGAACAAAACAAAGAATAAGCACTTAGGTTAAGAAACAAGATATATATATATTTTAAAACATGCATCATTCCCCTTTGATACATAAGTCAGTCATGAAGTCCTAATTCACATTCATTCCTTGAACTTACCTATGGTTCCCTGGGTACCTGTTTATCTTGCTTTCCTCTACGTTGGTCTTCTCTACAGAATTACTCTCTTAACTGTTTCATGTAACACAACCATTATTTTCAATCCAATGCCTCCTAAAACATCCACAAGCAGCAGTTGAAAAAAAAAAAAAAAAAAAAAAAAAAAAATCTGTCTTTGAAATCTTGTATTTATTTGGCTGTGGGGTTTCCTAAAGCAGAACAGTGGTTTATTGGGCTGAACTGTCCAGATTTCCTCTGAAAATCTCACTTCTAAGTCAAGGACAGTGTCTCTACAGAGACACTATCTAGGTCTCAGTGAATGCACAGTTAGGGGCTCTCTGCTCAGTGTCATTGTATAAGGTGCCTGCACAGTTATCCTGAGCAAGGGCCAAAGCCTCTTTCATATTCAGGAGTTAGGGAAATCTAGAAGACATGGGGGTCAACTGCACTGGGGCAGGGAAGAGGAATAATATTCACCAGGTGGGCAGCAGATGACAGAAAGGGGCACTGACAGCTCAGTGGTAAAAGTAGCTCTTTGTGCCATCATCATCCTTGGACGCATTGAAGACCCAGATGGATAAAGCCCTGAGTAACCAGGTCTGATATCATAGCTGACCCTGCTTTGAGCAGAGGGTTGGATGAGAGAGCTCCTGAGGTCCCTTCCAATCTGAATTGTCCTATGATCCTCACTGCCTCAACTTCTAAATCTGCCAGCTGAGAAAAATCACAGGCACTTATGGAAAACAAAGGCTGTACCTCTAATGGAATTGAGAAATCCATACATCCCTTCCAGAAGACAGAACCACGATACCTATGCTATTCCTGACAGATCCGTATTTCATGTTCCTAAAGATTTCCTCTGCAGAGTAATGAAGACTCAACAGCCTTTGATGATAATTTATTTTGGTACACCACTATCCTTAGTAGAGGTTATTCTAACTCAGTAGCTAAATCCCTTTTTCTCCACTGTAAATCTATAATTTCTTGTTCCAGGCGATAGATATGGAATGCAGGTTATTCCCTCCCTTGTTATAGCATCTTGTTCTTCATTTATAAATGATGATCAGTCTTCTCGTATCTGAACAATCCCAGTTTACTGAAACTTGCTGTTTTTCAAGTCACTAAACATTCTCTTTGCCCTCCTCTACACTCTCTCCAGTTGTTCCATATCCTTCACAAGATGCAGCAGCCAGAATTGGACACTGTATGCTCAGCTGAGACTGTGCTGAATATGGGATAAGAGGATATGGCAGAAAAGCTGTGCTACACATTACTGTAATGTTTGCTTTATTCACAGCAGCAAGAGGTACTTGGTTTGAGCCCAACTCATAATCAGCTATAACTCCAAGCTAGATGTTTTCCCTTAGAATTGGTAATACCCATATTCCAACACCCAGTACTGAAGCAGTTGATTAATTCTGCCTAAATATTGAACTTCCACTTCTCCTTTCTGGACAATATTTTGACTTATCCATGTCACATCTTCAACTCTCCAGAATATCTTGACTTTTAATTTAAACATAATAAGCTTGAAAGTTCTTCATAAGCCTAGCACTTCTTCTATTCCACCACCTGAGTCATTAATGCAAATATTGACCAGCACTACAGAGTTGTGTATGGGGAAGCTATTTCCTGAACTTTTCTCCTAGCCTTCTTCCTCATTTTAAATCCATTTCCTTCCTCCCTCCCTAGGGCATCTGCAGAGAACAGGCAAAGAAGGAGAGGAGAAGAAAGAGGCTTTCAGCCATCCCAGCAGTCAGACATGTAATTTGGTGGTAGTAAAGGCCACAGGCAGCAGCAAGAAGATGCTAGGATGAAGAACTGCAATTCAAAAGCACAACTTTGTACACAGACTTGCAACTCTATATAAGGCAGCTGATGACATGATTTGTTTGCCATTTTCCTACAGTTTTAAAAGTGTAGTATTTATAAGTCTAAAGGGTCCTGCACAAAAAGCAAGCTCTGCCTGTGATCGGGATGCCTGCTGTCTCTTACGGGTCAGAGTAAGACAGTAAAAACAGCAGCATCTGATATTCCTACATCACCTGTAAAAGCCTTCTGGCAAAGCTCAGCCCATTCTAATGGCACCCATCAGTCTATAGTGTCTTAGCACTGCTTGAACTTTGTAACTCTTTTCAAATATTCTCCTTGTATGCTCAAACCCGGAAACTTTCAGCTTAATGGCTTAATTATGTGCTCAGATAATGTAAATACAATACTTCGGCTGCTGTTAAAAAAAAAAAAAAAAATCCAATTTTGTCTGCTGGCAGAATATCTAAGTGAGAAGCAATTTGCAGTGAAGAAAATTCTGCCTTATTCTGAATGGAGCCAGAAATCTTGATAAGTTTTATTTGAGTGCTTCCCATTTTGTGGTACTGCCAAACTCTGTCATCCCCTTCCTAATTGGTAATCTCCCTTTTAAAACAATACCATACTCAAACGCAATGCCTATATTTTTAATACATCATTAAATAGTACGGGCATATTCATGGTAACTCCTATGACAATCAAAAATGAAAGGACTACTCTATTTCTAATAGAAGTCAGAATGGGAAATCTGCTGTTTAGAATAGAGACAGAGTACACAGCTGGAAATCTCCCACAGCTCAAGTTTTAGATGCATTTGACCTTGTAACTTGTCAGTAGCACAAAGTGAACCAGAGTCTCTAATAAAAATAATAATTAAAAATCATAATGTTCCTTCTCTATTAGGTTATTCCAGTTTTATGTTAGTGTAGCTGCATCAATCTATGGTTCAGCTACCCTGTCCTAACATTGAAGGAAAAGAGGATTACATGGACCACCAGAAACTTTCAACAAAAGGTTTAACTACATTTTCAAGTCTGATGTCAATATCTATCCCTGAGAGCAGAAAAGTCTCTCTTTTCCATCCTATTTCACCACTCAGAAAGAAACACAATTCTTTTTCCTCACCAGAAACTGAGTTTGTTCTCCTCACAACAGCCAGGATTGACCTACTTAGCTAATCCCTGAAGTATAAAACACTATTGCTATGTGCATTGTTTTCTTCCACAAGAATCTCTTCATGTTCCTGGCATGTATCACGTGCATCTGCAAAATATCAGAGGGGGGAAATATAGAGATGCAGAAAAAAAAATACAAAAATACTCTTAGGATATAATTATATGAAGTACTCAAGATTAGAGGGGAGAAACAAACAAACAAACAAACAAAAACAGTTTTTCTTAAAAATAATTTCAGAAACAGAAAGAAGATTTCTTGAGTTTCCAGACAAGGGAAGCATTTTCTACATTGTTTAACAGAGTATTGCAGACTTGTCCTGGCACCTGGTAGTAGCTACACAGGGAAAACACCTCAAGACACCTCCTCCCCTTTCACAATAACTTTTTCACAGCAGTGTTAGCATAAAATAATGACAATCTTGCATCCCTGCTGCCAGCTCTTACCCATTGTACCAGACCATTATAAGAATTTGGCAGCCATCCAACAAAACAGAACTGAAATTGATTTAGCTGAAAATAAAGAAGTTTTTTTTTTTTTTTTTGCCAGTTTCTTTACAAGCCAAAACAATTCTACAGTCAAGTTCACCACTTTCTTGTGCAAGATCTTGAGCTAGAATAGCACAGTTGTTAACACATGGGTGAAGACTATACAGATTGTATTATTAGCCAACCTCTAGCTGTAGTCTCAGATTCCCAGAAGACACATTAGTATGTTTTGAGCAGTAGGTTTGGGAGGAGGATTCTGTCACTGAATTCAAACCCAGTCTCACTCACACTAGCTGCACATCAGTACGCTGCTCTCAGTTTTCATCCCTGTAAGGGAAAAATCAAAACCAACGAGTTAATGAAATGTCGGGTGAAGAATCAGCTAAACATGTCAAAATGCCACAAAAATATTGTTCCCAGAAGACAGGGAATCAAGAGTTCACCAGAAATGGCATATGGCTGGTGACCATTGTTTTAAAAAAAAAAGAAAGAAAAAAAAAGCCTTCTCACTCCTCCCCCACCCCAGTTCAGTTGGAATTTTGTCTGCTCCTTTCCCAACTACCACTGTAAAATAATAAATTATATTACAAAAGACTACAGAATATATATAGCAATGCCTCTAGCTCAAGCTTATTTACAGCATTTTCAAAGATTTTTTATAGCTGAACCTCAATATCATCAAATCATGAAAAGTAACAGCAATTGACTCTTAACCATATAGGTAAAACCCAAACCTCACCTCTTTTGAAATGTCATTCTGCTATCATCTTTTTCTTCATTAACTTTTCTTTCCACATCATGTCTTTCATTATCAATTCTATTCAGTGAACATAGTTCTGCAATTAATTTTGCCATGTTTTTATTAATTTTTCCCCATCCCATAAACATGTATCTTACAGGAAGGCACACTGTATAAGCTTAACAAGGTTTACAGATGCCAGAAACATACAGCACAGGCATGGAATCCAAATACCTACCCAAGCGTTATATCATTAATAAAAAGAAAAATAATAAATAAGTAAATAAATAAAAAAGGAAGTAGCATTCTTTCTGTATAACCTCAATAGAGCAAATACAGAATGAGACGATGAATTTTAATCTACAATAGACATGCTCTCTTCTAGATTAAGTCCTTGTACTAAGAAATCAAAACATATTTGAAGTAGATAATCAGACTCTTTTAAGAAGATGACAAAAATTCAAAGGCCAATTTCACATTGGTGTAAATCAGCTGAATTGTATTTCATACCATAGCATTCACCTGCATCAATGAAGGACCTACAGACACTGAGAGAATAGCCTGGCAGATAAGACTCTACTCTAGGAACAGGGAGCTCAGTTCACTTCCCAACTATGCTGCCATTTTCCTGCATGAATTTTAAGTGCAAATCCCTCCATTCTGAACATCTATTTCTACCCTACGAAATGGAAAAAAAAAAATAAAATGGACAGTGTATTCAAATTGTAAGTCACTTGAGGCAAGATAAACAGCCACTCTTGTGATCATAGTATAAACATAGTATTCAGCCATTTTTTCACTAACTACTGTTCTGGTCTCTATGAGGTAGTCCAAAAGGCTCAAATTTTCACACCATGATTCTGTCACGTGCAAAGGCATTTCTAATAAAACTGACCAAAACTTTCCCCAAGTTATTTCCCAAACTACTAACCTCTAAACTGCAAAATACTATGTTATCACAGCATGGAATTGGTGATATTTCTGTTTTTCCAGTATTTCCTTGTCAGGTAGTGCCTCAAGCGGTTACTAACACTACCATCCTAAAGACTACATTAAACACCCATTCAGTAGATATAGCCCATCTGGAGAAGTTGTTGACTTGGATGAGGGTGGAAAGGCCTTGCAGAGAGACCTGGACAGATTGGAGAGCTGGGTAATCACCAACCACATGAAGTTTAACAAGAGCAAGTGCCAGGTCCTGCACCTGGGATGGTGCAACCCTGGTTTTACGTACAGACTTGGCAATGAGATGCTGGAGAGCAGAGAGGGATCTGGGGGTTGTGGTTGACAGCAAGCTGAGTATGAGCCAGCAGCGTGCCCTGGCAGCCAGGAGGGCCAACTGCATCCTGGGGTACACCAAGCACGGCATTGCCAGTTGTTTGAGGGAGGTGATTGTCCCTCTCTGCTCTGGTGCTGCCTCCCCTCGAGCACTATGTGCAGTTCTGGGCACCACAGTACAAGAAGGACATTAAACTGTTAAAGAGAAATGGACCTGTTGGAGCAAGTCCAGAAGAGAGACATAAGGACAAACAGAGGGTGGGAGCACCTATCCTATGAAGAAAGCCTGAGAAAGTTGGGGTTGTTCTGCCTGGAGAAGAAAAGGCTCCATGAAAACTTTAGAGCAGCCTTCCAAGATCTGAAAAGTGACCTACATGAAAGCTGGGAAGGGACTCTTGCAGAGCGTTATAACAGGACAAGGAGCAATGCTTTTGAACTGGAAAAGGGTAGGTCTATATTAGAGATAAGGAAGAAATTCTTCACAAGAAGGGCAGTGAGGCAGAGGAACAGGCTGCCAAGAGAAGCTGTGGATGTCCCATCCCTGGAACTGCGTGGATGGGGCTTTGGGCAACCTGATCTAGTGGAAAGTGTGATGTCTTCAGCGAGATTAGATGGTCTCTGAGGTCCCTTCCAGTCTAAACCATTCTATGATTCTCTCAAAATTCATTAGGCCAAAATAATATTCACTCTGAACCCTGACATTTTCTTGCCCCTATCTCCTATTAGTGTCTGTCATTTTGAACTTTCATGGGAACTGCTACCACAAAAAATGGAGAGTGCAAATACTCTCACAAGCAGTGGAGAAGGAACTACTATGCCAAAATAAAGCACTGCAACACAGCCCACAAAGAGGAAGGTCAGTGAATTCATTTCAGATTGCTTATAAGGCCCAAGAAACCAGTTTTATTCAGTTTGAGATGGGGAAAAGACACTTTAAGATATATGGGTTATTCTCAATAAGGAAGCTTTCAGAAAGGCATTTATGTGAAATAGCTTGTGCTGCTGATCTGGTACTACAAGGGTTAAAAAAACTATATCCATGTCCAAATTTAGGCACTTTGAACTAGACAAATAAGTAAATTAGACAAAGATCCGACAAAAACAAGTTAATGTGAATGAATACATGTGCAATCAGATTGTGTAAGTATGACAGCAGAGAAAGGAATATCAGATTTCCTGAAATATAGTAAACCTAAATCATATCTTCCTCAAGTGGTAAGAAAAAGATTAGGAAATTCTGAACACTGGGCCCATATGCCCAGTACTTTCACTTATAATAGTACCAGGAAGAAATCTTAATGTCAAATTTACAGGAACTCTACTAATACTTTATTACTACTATCCTACTTTTTGTCATTCTTTCTCCCTTAGCCTAAGAGAACAAAGCCCCCGTGTACAAAAGCATTCACAGTATTGCATTAGAATTAGAAAAGAACAGATTGTGAGGCAGTCTTGGGGGGGAGGAAGGGGAGTGCCAATAAAACAAACAAAAAAACCACCAATATCAAAAATGATCTACTCGGAGCAGATTGTTAAAAATCAGCATGCCTGAACTTGTTCACACCGAACTAAATAATTTTATGCAGGCAAGTAATTTGCAGAGAAAGATGCCTAAAGTATTTGCTGCACAGAGAAAGGAGTTAAAAATCTGTTAAAATTACCTGCAGTGAAGTGCTCCCCAGTTTCACCACTGCAGTATGTTCTACTATTTCAGCAGGAGAAAATAATTAGATTTCCAAAGTAATTCATACATACCTCAATAACCTTGTACTAATCTGCAAGGTCTGGAAATCAAGCTGAGATCTCACAACAGGACCAGTATAAATAGGGAAAATATTTAATGGCTTCAATGATTAGCCATACCATTAGGGATAAATAGACAGTACAACTTTATGAATTTACTTTAAGTTGTGCATATTTGGTATATTATATAATATACCAAATATTTATAGGACAATAAGGCAAACTTGTCATTCTCTCATTCCTTTTTAAAAGAGTTAAATCAATTTTCCAAATGTCTTGGCTAAACTTATCCACAAAATATTATTGACAATGCTGTTTTTGAGTAAGGATTCAAGATTGCAAGAAGGTGGAGCATAAGATTTGACTCATCCTGCCAGATGTACCTGGAGATGACACTGATTTATACTTCTGTAGAATAGTCTAGCCCAATGAGGTGACATAAATCAAATATTTTATTATTGCTCTTATAGAAGTAATAACAAAAACAACTCACAGGACCCTAGCATATGCTCCTAAGGATAATGCAACCAGGTAAAGCTGTAGGGGAATACAGCTTGTGCATAGAAGAAAATGTGTACAACTAAACCCTGGGATTAAACTATTTGTAAAGATTTTTTTTTTTTTTAAGAAAAAAAAAAATGCTTTCAGTTAACAAGGGGTTGGACTAGCTGATTTTCAGAGGTCCCTTCCAACCCCTCCCATCATGTGATTCTGTGAAAATTAATCTCATTTTTCCTTACAGAACAATCAACCAAAAAGCTATATTTATTTCTCTCCTCATCTTGGGAGAGATTAAACACTTCATTCCAGCTTTTTAGAGCTTAGTCTATCTATTTCGTTAACAATATTTCAAAGCCAGACCTTTTTGGAAAGTCTTTTTGGAAAATGAAAGCAGCAAAGGATTAAGCCAAAACAAAACAAACAAACAAACAAAACACTGTTGTCCTACTTTTACATAATAGCACAAGAGCAGAATAGCAAGATTAATTTGTGCTGCCTGTCTGAAGAGCCAGGAACCTTATTATGAGGCCTTAAAACATGCATCCTTCTCCTCTGCTTTAGGGTATTGCACAAGAGGTACCACAGCCATCCTTCCCTCCCTGCTTACAGAGGAGGAAGAGGCTTTACCTTTCCCCAAGGTGGACATGCTGAAAAATAATCCTAAGTAAAAGATGTAATAAATACATAAATAATAACACAGTAATCCTCGCTAAATGCTTGTTTCAACTGTTAGGAGTCAGACCCATCTTTTTTTCATTGCTTAGATAAAATCATTGCATCAATTCTCGTCAAACTCACAAATCATTTCAGAATGATTGAAATTACATTTCTTGGGGAATTATTTACTGGAGAAAAAATAATTTAAAGAAAGATTAGATCTCCTCAGGAAAGAATGGCTCTGCATTCTCTTCCTGAATTTATCACTAGCTTGTTTATTGTTTAACTTGCTTAGTTAAGTTATTGAAATTCTCTCTGCCTGACTTCTCCTACTGTTCAGATGTGGATAGTGATGCTGTTTCTTAGGATGCTGCAAAGCTGCATCACTAATATCAAAGGTGTTTGAGAT